AATGGTTCACTGTGTGATTCCCCGTGTTATAATTGGGGTTTTACTGTGAATTGAATAATGTTTCACTGTGTGATTCCCCGTGGGTTTAGTTACCTATTTTTTCTCCCAGCAGGAATGGACTCCAATTCCCAGACCTCATCACAGGAACTGCTCATTCCTAATGACGTAAGTGTAGCAAGCAATACTTTGTCTGCTATGTAAGAAACAGTGCCACATAACAGACCTGAACAATACTATTCAGTACAGTCAGACACCCACCCACTACTCATTCCAGCGCTGTTGTCTGATGCATTCCAACGTTGCCTCTAACTCGACGGGCAAAACTGGGAAAAGCGTGTTGAAATCACTTCGTAACGATGTCACCTCTCTCTCGTCATCTCTCTGTCTCTGTCTCTCTCTTGCTCTCCCTCCCTCCCTCCCTCCCTCTCTCCCTCCTTCTTTCCCATCTCTCCGTCTATAAGTCTCAGCGGAGTTCTATGAGTTTGCACTAAATCTAGTCATGAAGCTTGACATATTGAAAGGCTCTGTGCTGTCAAAACAGAGCAGGAAATAAAGCAACCAGAGGGCTTTCAACTGAGCCCTCCTTCCACACAATACCGTAGAACTCACCCCAGCCCAGGACAGTCCTCCCCAGCTCGGCCCACCCCAGCCCAGGACAGCCCTCCCCAGCTCGGCCCACCCCAGCCCAGGACAGCCCTCCCCAGCTCGGCCCACCCCAGCCCAGGACAGCCCTCCCCTGCTCAGCCCACTCCAGCCCAGCCTTCACTACCCAATTCCCTCCCCAGCCCCTCCCAGGCCCTTTCCCAGGTCCTTTTCTAGCCCCTCCCCAGCCCCTCCCCAGCCCTTGCCCCAGCCCCTCCCCCAGTCCTTCCCCCAGGTCCTCCCCCAGCCCCTCCCCTCCCCAGCCCCTCCCCAGCCCAACTCAGCATGGCCCAGCATAGACACTGTAGACTCTAGAGGTGGGTGGAAGTAGTAGGACTTAGTGCGGGGGACACATACTTTAGACTTGAGCCAGAGCAGGGGCTTCCCAACCAAATTACACCAGCCACTAATATTGCCACCCAACACTCCTGGAGAAGTGCCCTGATATGCTGGCCTTTGTTGTATCTGTGCCTGGATGTCAGAAGAGACGGACTGCATGGTTCTGAAGTTCACCCTAGTCATCCATCCTAGATCTCTGCCAGGACAGGAAGGATGAGGATAACATCAGGACAGGAAGGATGAGGATAACATCAGGACAGGAAGGATGAGGATAAACATCAGGACAGGAAGGATGAGGATAAACATCAGGACAGGAAGGATAAACGTCAGGACAGGAAGGATAAACATCAGGACAGGAAGGATAAACATCAGGACAGGAAGGATAAACATCAGGACAGGAAGGATAAACATCAGGACAGGAAGGATAAACATCAGGACAGGAAGGATAAACATCAGGACAGGAAGGATGAGGATAAACGTCAGGACAGGAAGGATAAACGTCAGGACAGGAAGGATAAACATCAGGACAGGAAGGATAAACATCAGGACAGGAAGGATAAACATCAGGACAGGAAGGATAAACATCAGGACAGGAAGGATAAACATCAGGACAGGAAGGATAAACGTCAGGACAGGAAGGATAAACGTCAGGACAGGAAGGATAAACGTCAGGACAGGAAGGATAAACGTCAGGACAGGAAGGATAAACATCAGGACAGGAAGGATAAACATCAGGACAGGAAGGATAAACATCAGGACAGGAAGGATAAACATCAGGACAGGAAGGATAAACATCAGGACAGGAAGGATAAACGTCAGGACAGGAAGGATAAACGTCAGGACAGGAAGGATAAACGTCAGGACAGGAAGGATGAGGATAAACATCAGGACAGGAAGGATAAACATCAGGACAGGAAGGATAAACATCAGGACAGGAAGGAAAAGCGTCAGGACAGGAAGGATAAACATCAGGACAGGAAGGATAAACATCAGGACAGGAAGGATAAACATCAGGACAGGAAGGATAACGTCAGGACAGGAAGGATAAACATCAGGACAGGAAGGATGAGAATAAACGTCAGGACAGGAAGGATAAACATCAGGACAGGAAGGATGAGTATAAACATCAGGACAGGAAGGATAAACATCAGGACAGGAAGGATAAACATCAGGACAGGAAGGATAAACATCAGGACAGGAAGGATAAACGTCAGGACAGGAAGGATAAACATCAGGACAGGAAGGATAAACATCAGGACAGGAAGGATAAACATCAGGACAGGAAGGATAGAATAAAACGTCAGGACAGGAAGGATAAACATCAGGACAGGAAGATGATGAATAAACGTCAGGACAGGAAGGATAAAACATCAGGACAGGAAGGATGAGTATAAACATCAGTGACAGGAAGGATAAACATCAGGACAGGAAGGATAAACATCAGGACAGGAAGGATAAACATCAGGACAGGAAGGATGAGAATAAACGTCAGGACAGGAAGGATAAACATCAGGACAGGAAGGATGAGAATAAACGTCAGGACAGAAGGATAAACATCAGGACAGGAAGGATGAGTATAAACATCAGGACAGAAGGATAAACATCAGGACAGGAAGGATAAACATCAGGACGGAAGGATAACATCATGACAGGAAGGATAAACGTCAGGACAGGAAATAACTCAGGACAGGAAGGATAACATCATGGACAGGAAGGATAAACATCAGGACAGGAAGGTGAGAAAACGTCCGAGGAACCAGGACAAGGAAGGATGAAATAACGTCAGAAGGAAGGATAAAAACAGGACAGGAAGGATAAACATCAGGACAGGAAGGATGAGAATAAACGTCAGGACAGGAAGGATAACATCAGGACAGGAAGGATGAGTATAAACATCAGGACAGGAAGGATAAAACATCAGGACAGGAAGGATAAACATCAGGACAGGAAGGATAAACATCAGGACATGGAAGGATGAGAATAAACGTCAGGACAGGAAGGATAAACATCAGGACAGGAAGGATAAACATCAGGACAGGAAGGATAAACATCAGGACAGGAAGGATGAGAATAAACATCAGGACAGGAAGGATAAACATCAGGACAGGAAGGATAAACATCAGGACAGGAAGGATAAACATCAGGACAGGAAGGATAAACATCAGGACAGGAAGGATAAACATCAGGACAGGAAGGATAAACATCAGGACAGGAAGGATAAACATCAGGACAGGAAGGATGAGAATAAACGTCAGGACAGGAAGGATAACATCAGGACAGAAGGATGAGGATAAACATCAGGACAGGAAGGATAAACATCAGGACAGGAAGGATAAACATCAGGACAGGAAGGATAAACGTCAGGACAGGAAGGATAAACGTCAGGACAGGAAGGATAAACATCAGGACAGGAAGGATAAACATCAGGACAGAAGGAGATAACATCAGGACAGGAAGAATAAACATCAGGACAGGAAGGATAAACATCAGGACAGGAAGGATAAACATCAGGACAGGAAGGATAAACATCAGGACAGGAAGGATAAACATCAGGACAGGAAGGATAAACATCAGGACAGGAAGGATAAATGTCAGGACAGGAAGGATAAACGTCAGGACAGGAAGGATAAACATCAGGACAGGAAGGATAAACATCAGGACAGGAAGGATAAACATCAGGACAGGAAGGATGAGGATAAACGTCAGGACAGGAAGGATAAACATCAGGACAGGAAGGATGATGATAAAGATCAGGACAGGAAGGATGAGGATAAACATCAGGACAGGAAGGATAAACGTCAGGACAGGAAGGATAAACGTCAGGACAGGAAGGATGAGTATAAACGTCTATCTAAAATTAAGGGAAAGGTGTGGATTTTAGATCAGTGTTTCAATTCATTGTAATTGAGACTCTGAATCTTTATATAGACAAGGAGACAGCGTTACTTTTGTCCCACATTGTTAATATATAGTCTGTCTGAAAACGTTACTAGCTATCAAATCCTTGCTTTCGGCCGTCCTTGTTTCCTCAATTCCTCTCAAAGCTCATTGTAGGCGGAAGTCAGAGGAAGGGACCTTGGATCCTCTCCTACAATGCGCTTTGAGAGAAACTGAAAGAACAGCAACAGAAGAAGCAAAGATTCGAGGGATGGTAACATTCTCAGACAGCCATTGTTTGGCATTCTGTCATTGTGTTTCTGTGGTCTTCCATTAGAGGGCCTTCGCATTAAAGATTCAATGTTCTAACATGCGTCAACCTTGATGGATAAAGTTGTTAATCGTGTTAGATAAGGTTGCAACCACATTTTTCTCCACATACCCCCTTTCTATCAGAAGGAGAACAATATGAATAGGAATAATATGAGAGAGAGAGAGAGAGAGAGAGAGAGAGAGAGAGAGAGAGAGAGAGAGAGAGAGAGAGAGAGAGAGAGAGAGAGAGAGAGAGAGAGAGAGAGAGAGAGAGAGAGAGAGAGAGAGGCACAGTGAGATACTAAGGCACTCGCTGCTTAGAACTTCCTGAAGGCCTGGAGGGGCTTTATCTGTGAATGTCCAGGGGTGGGGGCTGTGATGTCCTCCAGCTCCACATAACGAGCCCTTTCACATTACAACTGCAGCAGGGAATCCACCCAGAATCCACTTCTTTAACATCAGACTGAGATCAACCGAGTCCTGTACTGTGCAGTAGTATGGGGGCAGTTTGAGAGCTAACAGTCAGACAGACAGAGTGGTTTGGACCTGGTACCTGTCTGTGGACACTTAGCTTAGTCCCCCAATCAGCAGGCCATTAATAAACCACAGTGGGGGAAGGAGAGGGGGGGAGAGAGGAGGGAGGCAGTGGGAGAGAAGGAGGGTGGGAGAAGGACGGAGTGGTGATAGATCATACACTGGGTGAGCGGGTGACTCGTGAGGAAAGGAATGCCTGTTTGTGCTGTGGTGAGAGAGAGAGAGAGAGAGAGAGAGAGAGAGAGAGAGAGAGAGAGAGAGAGAGAGAGAGAGAGAGAGAGAGAGAGAGAGAGGATATGAGGGTCTGTCCGTCAGACGGCATGCCAAGCTTCCGACACGTCCATGTTGGTGTCACTTCATCCCTGTCCAGGCCTCAGACATGACTTGGAGTTATTGTGTCCCAAATGACACCCTATTAACTATATAGTGCACTACTTTTGACCAGAGCACTATGGGTCCTGATCAAAAGTAGTGCACTGAATAGGGTGTCATTTGGGACACAGTGAGACATAGGGCTCTCTCTCGATCAGGGGCCTAACTCCTGACATCAAGGCCCTTAGCCCTGACACTGTACGGGCTTCCTCTCAGTCCTGGGTTCAAATACTGTTTGAAATCATTTTTGTAATTTCAAATACTGAAATATCTGGGATTTACTGGCACAATGAGAACAATAGAATAGTTGCATAAGTGCAAACCTCTCACGCACCTGGCAGCTGGCTCTCCAGTTAGACCAGATCACTCCAGTTAGACCAGATCACTCCAGTTAGACCAGATCACTCCAGTTAGACCAGATCACTCCAGTTAGACCAGATCACTCCAGTTAGACCAGATCACTCCAGTTAGACCAGATCACTCCAGTTAGACCAGATCACTCCAGTTAGACCAGATCACTCCAGTTACACTAGATCACTCCAGTTAGACTAGATCACTCCAGTTATACCAGATCACTCCAGTTAGACCAGATCACTCCAGTTACACTAGATCACTCCAGTTAGACTAGATCACTCCAGTTACACCAGATCACTCCAGTTAGACTAGATCACTCCAGTTATACCAGATCACTCCAGTTAGACTAGATCACTCCAGTTACACTAGATCACTCCAGTTAGACTAGATCACTCCAGTTATACCAGATCACTCCAGTTAGACTAGATCAAACACTAAAACTATTTGAAATATTTCGAATAGTACTTGAACCCAGGTCTGTCCCTGATCTCTGACACTGGGCTTGACTGTCTTTGACGGATCCCTGATCCTTTACCCATGCCCTCTGCTGTCACTGAGAATAACCAGACCAGAGAACACACACACACACACACACACACACACACACACACACACACACACACACACACACACACACACACACACACACACACACACACACACACACCAGAGAAACACACAGACAGGACACAGTAGAAACATACTACCACACTAGACCCACAGTAGACGATCCCAGAGCAGAGACAGGAGGATGAGTCAGGCTGCAGCACCTGTTGTAGTTTACATTGAGAGCTCTGATATATTGTTCCAAACAAGACTAACGATTAATACCCATTGATGGGTGGATGACCCTGTTGGCTTTGGTCTGAAAATGCTAGTTTCAATTCCCGCTGCGGCCACAGTTTATTTGGTACACCCATCTAGTACCGGGCCGGACCCCCCTTTGCCTCCAGAACAGCCTGCATTCTTTGGGGCATGGAAACATTACTCAATTGGCATCAAGGGACCTAATTCCCCACACCATTACACCACCGCCACCAGCCTGTACCGTTGACACCAGGCAGGATGGGGGCCATGGACTCATACTGCTTATGCCAAATCATGACTCTGGCATCAGCATGATGCAACAGGAACTGGGATTCGTCAGACCAGGCAATGTTTTTCCACTCCTCAATTGTCCGGTGTTGGTGATGGCGTGCCCACTGGAGAGATTCTTCTTGTTTTTAGCTGATAGGAGTGGAACCCAGTGTGGTCGTCTGCTGCGATAGCCCATCCGTGACAAGGACCGACGAGTTGTGTGTTCCTAGATGCCGTTCTGCACACCACTGTTGTACTGCGCCGTTATTTGTCTGTTTGTGGGCCGCCTGTTAGCTTGCGTGATTCTTGCCATTCTCCTTCCACCTCTCTAATCAGCAGAGATACTGGATCCGGCGCTCCAGGCACCGACGATCATACCATATCGCTTAGGTCACTCTTTTTCCCCATTCTAACGTTCAAATGAACAGTAACTGAATGCCTCGATGCCTGTCTGCCTGCTTTATATAACAAGCCACGGCCACGTGACTCACTGTCTGTAGGAGCGATCCATTTTCGTGAACGGGATGGTATACCTAATAAACTGGCCACTTAGTGTATACTTACAACAAGGAACTCACTGTACTGTAAGTCGCTTTTGATAAACTGTCTGCTAAAAAGCCATTTGATTTTAAGGTAGCTAAGCCACTACTAGTCACATACTATCCCTCATTTTACATTTCTGCTGGTTGTTTCCTATTGCATTTCTATTACCCACTAAACAGAATCACTAGTCTGACCCACTAAACAGAATCACTAGTCTGACCCACTAAACAGAATCACTAGTCTGACCCACTAAACAGAATCACTAGTCTGACCCACTAAACAGAATCACTAGTCTGACCCACTAAACATAATCACTAGTCTGACCCACTAAACAGAATCACTAGTCTGACCCACTAAACAGAATCACTAGTCTGACCCACTAAACAGAAACACTAGTCTGACCCACTAAACAGAATCACTAGTCTGACCCACTAAACAGAATCACTAGTCTGACCCACTAAACAGAATCACTAGTCTGACCCACTAAACAGAATCACTAGTCTGACCCACTAAACAGAATCACTAGTCTGACCCACTAAACAGAAACACTAGTCTGACCCACTAAACAGAAACACTAGTCTGACTCGTGTCCAGGAAGCAAATACTCTTGTGAAGTTACCTTGGTAAGAAATCAGTAGTCACTTAGCTTCAAAGGGTATAGGCGAGGGATATATGGGCTATGATGTATATATATATATATATATATATATATATGATATATAGGCAGTGAGAGTAACTGGATGCAGTGTACAGATTGACTACCGGTAGGGTTTACAAGGTATGGGAATTGACCCCTGATTTTGAAGGTTATTAGCTTTTCCCTGGTAGATCTGTTATGCACTGAGACACAAACTGTGGGATGTTTGTTTTTAAACCATGCTCAAGACAATGTTTCCATGGTACACAAACCTTTACATTTATTTTTCATGTACAGTGCCTTCAGAAAGTATTCAGACCCCTTGACTTTTTCCGTATTTTGTTACGTTACAGCCTTATTCTAAAATGGAATAAATGTTTTTTTTCCGGCAATCTACACACAATACCCCATAATGACAAAGCGAAAATAGTTTTTTAGAAAATGTCGCGCATTTATTACAAATAAAAAACAGAAATACCTTATTTACATAAGTCTTCAGATCCTTTGCTATGAGACTCGAAATTGAGCTCAGGTGCATCCTATTTCCATTGATCATCCTTGAGAGGTTTTTACAACTTGATTGGAGTCCACCTGTGGTAAATTAAATTGATTGGACATGATTTGGAAAGGCACACACCTGTATATATAAGGTCCCACAGTTGACAGCGCATGTCAGAGCAAAAACCATGCCATGAGGTCGAAGGAATTGTCCGTAGAACTCCGAGACAGGATTGTGTCGAGGCACTGATCTGGGGAAGGGTACCAAAAACGTTATGTAGCTTTGAAGGTCCCCAGGAACACAGTGGCATCCATCATTCTTAAATGGAAGAAGGTCGGAGCCACCAAGACTCTTCCTAGAGCTGGCCGCCCGGCCAAACTGAGCAATCGGGAGAGAAGGGCCTTGGTCAGGGAGGTGACCAAGAACCTGATGTTCTGACAGAGTTCTAGAGTTCCTCTGTGGAGATGGGAGAACCTTCCAGAGCGACAACCATCTCTGCAGCACTCCAACAATCAGGCCTTTATGGTAGAGTGGCCAGGCGGAAGCCACTCCTCAGTAAAAGGCACATGACAGCCCGCTTGGAGATTGCCAAAAGGCACCTGAAGACTCTCAGACCATGAGAAACAAGATTCTCTGGTCTGATGAAACCAAGATTGAACTTTTTGGCCTGAATGCCAAGCGTCACATCTGGAGGAAACCTGGCACTGAATGGAGCAAAGTACAGAGAGATCCTTGATGAAAACCTGCTCCAGAGCGCTCAGGACCTCAGACTGGGGCGAAGGTTCAACTTCCAACAGGACAACGACCCTAAGCACACAGCCAAGACAACGCAGGAGTGGCTTCGGGACAAGTCTCTGAATGTCCTCGAGGGGCCCAACCAGAGCCCGGACATGAACCCGATCGAACATTTCTGGAAAGACCTGAAAATAGCTGTGCAGCGACGCTCCCCATCCAACCTGACAGAGCTTGAGAGGATCTGCAGAGAAGAATGGGAGAAACTCCCCAAATACAGGTGTGCCAAGCTTGTAGCGTCATACCCAAGAAGACTCGAGGCTGTAAATGCTGCCAAAGGTGCTTCAAAAAAGTACTGAGTGAAGGTTCTGAATACTTAATATAAATGTGATATTTCCGTTTTTTATGTTTAAAAAATATTCTACCATTTCTAAAAACCTGTTTTTGCTTTGTCATTGAGGGGTATTGTGTGTAGATTGATGAGATAAAGTATTTTATCAATTTTAGAATAAGGCTGTAACGTAACAAAATGTGGGAAAAGTCAAGGGGTCTGAATACTTTCCGAATGCACTGTATCCTTTATTCTGGGAAGTCCCATTAAGATTGATATCTGTTTTTCAAGTTGGCCCTGGACATTTAGTTTTATCAACACCAACTCCCTTTGGGGTTTTAGTAATAAAGATGTGATCTGGTGAAGCCTCTTTACTTGTTTCTCCATCATTGACCTGATCATCATCGGGTCAGGGCACCCACATTCTCACATCCCCTCTCTCCTCTCTCTCCTTCAGCTCATCGGCTCCATCATCGGGCGTCAGGGCACCAAGATCAATGAGATCCGCCAGGCGTCAGGGGCTCAGATAAAGATTGGTAGCCAGCTGGACAGCACCAGTGATAGACATGTCACCATCACAGGGACCACCATCTCTATCAACCTGGCCCAATACCTCATCACCTCCTGGTAAGAGAAAGCTCTGGCACCACCGAGTACAGCACACAAGGAGTAGAGAGGGAGAGGGGAGGGGAGGGATGGAGAGGAGGGGAGGGGAGAGAGAGGAGGGATGAGAGTGGGGGAAGGGAGGGAGGGTAGGAGGGGTGTTTTATTATCGTTATGTTCTTTCTTTCTTTTTCTTTTTTGAGCTTTCTTGGGGATCTCTGGTCTCGGTCTTGGGGCTTCCTTTCCGGATGTTGCTTTTCTTCCTTTCCTGTGCTGCGATTTTAGGGGAAGGTAGGGATCGCTCTTTCATGTTAGGGGTCTCGCCTCATGGTCTTCTGAGTGCTCTGACACCTCGACGACACGTCCCCATCACCATTCCCTACCTCTCCCATTAAACCTGACCCAACATCACCTCCTGTTAAGAGAAAGCAACCTGACCCAACACCACCTCCTGTTAAGAGAAAGCACCACCCAGCAGATCAACAATGTAAACAATAAGACACTAGATGTGTACAGTACCTTGTAGAGCCAGCACCCAGACCACTTCCTGGCTGTGCTTGAATTGGGCGGGTACACACCGGTACAGAGTGCTGTATGAGTCCAACACCTTATTGAATTGGGCGGGTACAACACCGGTACGAGTGCTGTATGAGTCCAACACCTTATTGAATTGGGCGGTACACACCGGTACAGAGTGCTGTATGAGTCCAACACCTTATTGAATTGGGCGGGTACGCACCGGTACAGAGTGCTGTATGAGTCCAACACCTTATTGAATTGGGCGGGTACGCACCGGTACAGAGTGCTGTATGAGTCCAACACCTTATTGAATTGGGCGGGTACGCACCGGTACAGAGTGCTGTATGAGTCCAACACCTTATTGAATTGGGCAGGTACGCACCGGTACAGAGTGCTGTATGAGTCCAACACCTTATTGAATTGGCTCTAAAATATGACTTCCAGTACTGTCAAATTCAAATGAGTACTGGCACCTTTTTCATTCCACTGGTCAGGTCACATGATCAGGAAAGAACCCTGGCCCTAGATACTCATGTCTCAAGACTCAATTCTACTGCTTCAAGAGATAATCTTTACACATTTATCTTCACAGATTACAGATTTGGAAAGGAGTTGTTGTACTGATGTTGCCAATTCATGTCTAAATTCACCAATTACTACTGAATATTGGGGAGATAGACCCATACTATTAGAAAACTACACTAGCAACACATTTGCATTAGGATACTAAAACTGTCAAGTATGACAACGATGCATTAACACACTGATTAAAATAAACCTTCTATCTTGTGATGATTATTAATGTTGTGTGACTGCTCTCTGAGGCCCTCTCGCCTCCGATCAGCAGAGCGACTAGAGCGTTTCACAGTTCACTCACCGTCTCTGTTCCAAGCATTGCATCAGACAGTTGAAAGTGCCACATTTTGAACATTACCCCGTAACTACGAAGTACGAACATGTAGGGCCAGAAGGTCATACCGTAACATACCGTCATTCTTCTAACCTAAAAAGCATATTATGGCCATGCTGAATTACACGTTGTACATGTTCTATTAGTAATTACAATATATGACAAATTACACTAGATTAGTAATTACACTATATTAGTAATTACACATTGTATTCACACAAACAAAACATTCCCAATATGCAATATATATATTTATTTACATATTGACAAATGCAATATATATATTTGAATCTTACAATAATAAGGAAAATCCTAATGAACTTTGAATGTATTTGTTTCCCGTACCGAAACCCCACCCCCAAGCCACCACCCCGACTTATAGCACCCACTCCCCACATGACATCCCTAAAGACCCTCCCTCCAGTAATCTGTTGCAACCTCCAGCGAAAAACACACATTTTATCTCCTTTTATTTCATTTCTTTAATTTTTCTCAATTTCTTTCTTTAACATGTATTTTATTTATTTAACCTTCTAACCCGTTTCCAAGGTTTCCCATCCGGTACTCCCTCCTCCCCTCCCTCCTCCCCTCCCCCCCCTCCTCCCTCCTTTCCTCTTCCCTTTTCCCTCCCCTCCCTCCGCCTCTCTCTTTTCCTTTCCTTGTCCTCCCCTCCCTCCTCCCCTCGTCTCCTTGCCCTCGCCTCACCCTCCCGCCTCCAAACCCCCTCCTTTGCCTCTTCCCCCCCTTTTCCCCGCCGGCACTCCCCCTCCCCTCCTTTCCTCTGTGAACCTTTCCCCCCTCGCCCCCCCTCCCTACGTCCACCTCCTCCCCTCCTCCCCTCCTCACTCCTCCTAGCCTTTAATCATCCCTCCTCCTGCCTGCTGCCCCTCGCTTCTCTCCCTTCCGCCTCCCCTCCTCCTCCTCCTCCTCCTCCTCCCTCCTCCTCCTCCTCCTCCTCCTCCTCCCTCCTCCTCCTCCTCCTCCTATCCCCCCTGTGCAGTTTAGAGACCGCCAAATCCACCGCCCAGTCTTCCTCCATGTCGACCTCTGCTGACCTCACCATGACCTACACCCAACCGTCCTCCCCCTCCCCCCGCCTCCTCCTCCTCAGCCGCTGCCACCCTGGCTGCAATGGGCTGCCCCGGCATGTCCCACCACAACCCCCACGCTGCAGTCCCCATGATGGGCAACCCCTATGGGGCCCTCTCCCTCTCCAGCCTCCTCGGAATGCAATCCATGAAATCCCTCCAATCCATGCCCTACCTGGCTTTATCCAACCCTGCCGCCAACGCAGCAGCCGCTCAGGCTCAGGCTCAGGCTCAGGCTCAGGCTCAGGCTCAGGCTCAGATCTACACGGCGAAGATCTCTTCCGTCAACGGGATCGGGAAGAAACCAGAGAGACAGAAGTTTGCGCCGTACTGATGACGACCGTCTCCATCCCTCCATCTATCCCTCCGTCCCTCTCTCCTCCGTCCCCCGAGACAAAGGGGACGGAGTGGAGGGTAAGAATGGAGGGAAGAAAAATAGCCGTTTTTTTTTTGTTCTCCTCCACTCTCGTTGTTCTTGCCTGGTGATGCAGCTGTGTAGGACATTTAACAGACTATCGATTTGATTTTGTTTTGTAGCTTTTTTGTCCCTCATATTACTGAAACACTAGGAGGAACTTTGGATTGGCTCGTATAGACGGCTATATTTATGTTGTCAGGCCAAGGAAACCTATCAAGCCATAGGCTGTGTATCCCCAAATGGCACCCTATTCCCTTTATAGTGCACTACTTTTGTCCAGAGCTCATAGGGCTCTAGGGACCATAGAGCTCTGGTCAAAAGTAGTGCACTATATAGGGAATAGGGTGCCATTTGGAACGCACACATAGACTATTCCTAACTTCCATTTTTATCTTCCTCTAACTTTCCCTTCCTTTCGTTCTACTGTACTGCTGTTATTGATAATTGACTTATTGATTTATTATTGATAATAATGAAATATTCCCACTAAGAGTTTATAAATTCAAACACTGGTGACTGATGCTCGACTGTACGTGCGTATCAGCTTTTATACAGTACATGATGTCTGTTTAGGTTTCTTCCTTTCTTTCCTGTTTAGGTTTCTTCCTGTATACAACTACAACAATTTTTGAAGAACGGTGTAAAAAAAAAAAAAGTTTTTAAAAAATGAAGGAAAAAAAATCTAACCTCTCTTTTTGCGTCAAGTTTTGATGTGGGTTTTTGGTAATATTTTTATTTGAAATGTGTTTAATTTATTTTATTTATTATGCAGAGTATTACTTTTACGATAAAATGTTAGATTTTTGGGAAATGGCACCAGGTACTACTACTAAGACTACTAGTAATTTTCTTCCATCCTGTCCTGAGTTTTGACTCAAGTATTTCCTCATGTCTCACCACAGAAGTGGTATCTTCTACTAAAGCAAGGTTTTTTTTAACAACATTGTGTTTTTGTTGGATAGAGAAATAGTGTTTCCACAACTGATATGTCAATATAATTAAACATTTAACACGCTAAAATCTGCATATTTCCAACTTTCTTCATGGGGTTTAAACAGCAAAACCCCTCTTAGGACACTTCTGAGGAATGAGAGATGCTTTTCTCACCCCAGCTGTCAAACTAAGATGCCATGCATGGTAGCTACTCTTGTGTGAGACTAATGCTGCACGTTAGCTCGGACACACACACACACACACACACACACACACACACACACACACACACACACGTTAAAACACACTAAGCTGTGTCTCTACAGACTCTATAGAACTACATAACTACAGACTCTATAGGACTACATAACCACAGACTCTATAGGACTACATAACTACAGACTCTATAGGACTACAGACTCTATAGGACTACATAACTACAGACTCTATAGGACTACATAACCACAGACTCTATAGGACTACATAACTACAGACTCTATAGGACTACATAACTACAGACTCTATAGGACTACATAACTACAGACTCTATAGGACTACATAACCACAGACTCTATAGGACTACATAACTACAGACTCTATAGGACTACATAACTACAGACTCTATAGGACTACATAACTACAGACTCTATAGGACTACATAACCACAGACTCTATAGGACTACATAACTACAGACTCTATAGGACTACATAACTACAGACTCTATAGGACTACATAACCACAGACTCTATAGGACTACATAACTACAGACTCTATAGGACTACATAACTACAGACTCTATAGGACTACATAACTACAGACTCTATAGGACTACATAACCACAGACTCTATAGGACTACATAACCACAGACTCTATAGGACTACATAACTACAGACTCTATAGGACTACATAACCACAGACTCTATAGAACTACATAACTACAGACTCTATAGGACTACATAACCACAGACTCTATAGGACTACATAACCACAGACTCTATAGGACTACATAACCACAGACTCTATAGGACTACATAACTACAGACTCTATAGGACTACAGACTCTATAGAACTACATAACTACAGACTCTATAGAACTACATAACTACAGACTCTATAGGACTACATAACCACAGACTCTATAGGACTACATAACTACAGACTCTATATGACTACATAACTACAGACTCTATAGGACTACAGACTCTATAGGACTACATAACTACAGACTCTATATGACTACATAACTACAGACTCTATAGGACTACAGACTCTATAGGACTACATAACTACAGACTCTATAGGACTACAGACTCTATAGGACTACATAACTACAGACTCTATAGGACTACATAACTACAGACTCTATAGGACTACATAACTACAGACTCTATAGGACTACATAACCACAGACTCTATAGGACTACATAACTACAGACTCTATAGGACTACATAACTACAGACTCTATAGGACTACATAACTACAAGCAGTGTGAACAAAAAGCAACAGTGAACTGAACGAGTGTTACTGTAGAGCAGGGTTCTTCAATTCCGGTCCTGGAGGGCCGAAACACCTCTGTTTTTCATCCTCTCTTTCTAATCAGGGGCTAATTCAGACCTGGGACACCAGGTGAGTGCAATTAACTACCAGGTAGAAATAAAAAACAGAAGGGTTTCGGCCCTCCAGGACCGGAATTGAAGAACCCTGCTGTAGAGTATCTACATTAACACCATGCAGACTCAGAGACAGACAGGACCACAGATTAACTACTACTTCAACGGTAACTCCTTCATAATAACTCTATCTAGCTCACTGGGGGGTTATTCTTGCATAGAGACGGTTTGTGTTTGTTTTTATAAATATGCCGCATATACTGTATGAACTCACTTATTTTTATAAACCCAGATGATGTAAGATGTATGGAATTTACTGTGGCCACTTAGTAGAAATCACTCATTCATGGTGTAAGTACCAAATGGTACCCTATATAGTGTACTACTTTTGACCAGGGCCCATATGGTGCCGTTGAACGTTGTTGTTAAAACCTTGATTCACCACTATGTATCGCTTTCTCTCCTAACGTCTCTCTCACTGTAGGTCATTTGCATGAATTCAACTTGAATCGATGTCTATGCAAAGCATCGCTTGATGGTTCAGCAAAGCATATTGTGTTCTGTGTAGCTCAGAGTAGCACTGAGATGCTACTGACTGAATAGTAGCATTGAGATGCTACTGACTGAATAGTAGCTCTGAGATGCTACTGACTGAATAGTAGCATTGAGATGCTATTGACTGAATAGTAGCATTGAGATGCTACTGACTGAATAGTAGCATTGAGATGCTATTGACTGAATAGTAGCATTGAGATGCTACTGACTGAATAGTAGCATTGAGATGCTACTGACTGAATAGTAGCATTGAGATGCTACTGACTGAATAGTAGCATTGAGATGCTATTGACTGAATAGTAGCATTGAGATGCTACTGACTGAATAGTAGCATTGAGATGCTATTGACTGAATAGTAGCATTGAGATGCTACTGACTGAATAGTAGCATTGAGATGCTATTGACTGAATAGTAGCATTGAGATGCTACTGACTGAATAGTAGCATTGAGATGCTATTGACTGAATAGTAGCATTGAGATGCTACTGACTGAATAGTAGCATTGAGATGCTACTGACTGAATAGTAGCTCTGAGATGCTACTGACTGAATAGTAGCATTGAGATGCTACTGACTGAATAGTAGCACTGAGATGCTACTGACTGAAAGGAAAGGGCTAATTAACAGACTAGTATGGGAGAGGGAATACAGGAGATCAACTAGGGTTGTAAAAATCTGGTGACTCTTCCCAAATTCCAAGGTTTCCCATAAATCCCGGAGTGGGAGCGTCCTGGAATGGGAAGGGAATCCGCAGGATCTCCGGACTCCTCCAACCAGGATTTATGTGAAACCTGGGAGTTTGGGAAAGAAAGAGACCAGTATTTTGGAACCCTAGGATCAGCAACGCTGCAGTCCTTTGACTTTGTTTATGAACCATGAGGATGACTATATAAAATCAATGCTCTCATTCCAGCTCTTTACAATACACATGTACATTATTATAACAACTCAATGAAAAGGAAAATGAATACAGTACAATATTGCACTTAAACATAAGTGATTCCGTTATAATGGCAAGTAATAAATATCAACATATTCTATTGATTAGAATTCTATTGATTAGATACCATCACAGTATCAACATATTCTATTGATTAGATACCATGACAGTATCAACATATTCTATTGATTAGATACCATGACAGTTATTGTAGTCTTTTGTTTGTTTATTCCTCACAGGAAAAGTTCTGTCATTTGAATCAACCTGATGTTTTCGTGATTCTCTGTTTCTCTCCATACATGCCATTCTAATAAATAAATCAAAACTAAATGTATCAACTTCATTCTACCCTTCCTTTTTTTCTGTCTCAGAATGTTCATGAAGAAGAATGAAAACCAGAAGCTCTAACTAAGTACCTAACACATGAATGAGCTCTAGTCTATGAAGTCTGTTAAATTCAAATCCAATTCAATTAGAATAACTTTATTGTCCTGTTAGGATAACTTTATTGTGCTGTTAGAATAACGTTATTGTCCTGTTAGAATAACTTTATTGTCCTGTTAGGATAACTTTATTGTGCTGTTAGAATAACTTTATTGTCCTGTTAGAATAACTTTATTGTCCTGTTAGGATAACTTTATTGTCCTGTTAGAATAACTTTCTTTTCCTGTTAGGATAACTTTATTGTCCTGTTAGAATAACTTTATTGTCCTGTTAGGATAACTTTATTGTCCTGTTAGAATAACTTTATTGTCCTGTTAGAACAACTTTATTGTCCTGTGAGAGTTCTTCTTCTCTTGTCCCAGACAATCAAAACAGAATGTTC